CGCCGTGAGTGGTTGTGGAGGGCGAAGACGACGGGCGGTGTAGAGAGAGAATGGATGAAGGTTTCCGGTTGGAGGGAGGCGACGAGTTGTAGATAGAGAGAATGGAGGGAGAGAATTAGGGTTTGTGATATTGGGTGAAATTAAATTAGTGTTTTGGACTGATTTGCATTTTTAAAAAAAGTTTAGGAGCAGATTGCAATTTGTTTTTTATTTTATTTTTCTTTTCTTTTTTGTTTTATTTAAATTAGAGGGTATATCTGTCATTTTACATTAAAAATTAGGGAAAAGACGTTTTTTACAAAAAAAGTGAAATGTAAGGACGTTCTGCATTAAGAAACGAAAGGTAGGGACGTTCTGCAAAGACAAGCAAAGGTAGGGACGTTTTGCGCCAATTACCCCAGAAATGAAGTTCCACTTAGAAAAATTCACATCATTTGTGCATCATATATCTTTTCTTTTCTTTCTTTTTCTTTTTTTATTTTTTTTTTCATTTTTCTACCAATTACTTGCACTCTAACTTTGAAGGTTACATAACTCCTGAAATTTGCTTGAGATAAGCAAGGACTACCTGACTACATATTGCTAATGAGCCTCCCTATTTATTGTTTGTAAATGAGAGAGATTCTATCGTGAATTCAATGTGAATAAGAGGAAGATTTTGCTAAGAGTTGACGTCTAAAGTAGACTTGGACGTTAATGTTGCCTAATCTAACACACACTGATAATTGTTAAGCCAGTAATGTTTTTTAACTTTAAAAAGAAAGTGTTATACAATAGGGAAGGAACTTTCGTGTCCTGTGATGGTAAGGTGCAAACATGAACATTGTTATGAAGAAAAACACCATCAATTGAATCGCAAACCTTCCCATCTTGTCAATAAAGCGGACAAATACCGGAACTCACTCTTGGCTTCCTTTGTCTGCTTTCTTTGGCCCTATAGTCTGGTCCCTGTAATTGGTAAGGTCTGATTGTTATCTGTAAGTCTTGTTTTGCCCACGGGAAGGTGAACTTTTAGGAGTGAAAAAGAAAAACTTGGTTATGGGAGCTGTCTAGACGTCAAACGGTTTGCTTTAACCATCTTAACAATCCCACATTATTGGTTCTATCCTTTGCTTCAGGACCTGTCCCTCAGTCTGGTTAGTACTCCATGCTGTCAGGCAGCAAAGCTTACAGTTGATCACTAATTATGACGACTCACCAGGGCCTCTTTCCTCCTTTCTGCTCACTCGTATGGGTCCAAACCCCCACAAAGTGGGAGGAAGTCAACTGAACATCTCAGCTCCTGACCCATAAACTTTTCCCTTTGGTCTTGTGGGTGGTTGGCTCGGCTCATGAGGCCCACGAGCTGAGGATCGAGCCGAGCCCATTTTTTGAGCACGAGCAAAGCTAGAGCTTGCCTTGTGGTAGAAATGCCGAGCCATGTCGACCCATTGCCATCCCATGCAAACCCCAAATAACGTAAAGTATTGAATCCTGTGCAAGAGAAATGTATTGTAATTTTGCCTTTGCTCTTATAGGTTATGTTAAGATGGTGTGATCCTGCCTTTCACTTTTCACTTTTACCTGATCCTTGCTACACATGCAGTGAACTTGTTTTGACATATTTGATCCAGAACTACTAATTATAAGAATGACAGAACTTGCAGAAAAATAAACTAAAAAAGATTTACAATTGTTCTGATCAGATGAAGCAGAAATTAAATCTCACTGGGCTATTAACTTGTTCAGCTCATGCAGTAGAAATAGTCCCAAAAGATTGTTTTCTAGTCATACTTATACCACCCCGATTTTTTAGGGGAGATGAAAACTAGCAGAGGAGATCTTACGTCGTCCTTTGTCTTCCTCTTGGTAGGGAGTGATGGCAGAGGCTTCGAGAAAGTCCTGGATGTGCGATCAAAGGTAACTTGCTTTCTTCCTGTCATCACTAGGTGTTGACAGAGGCTTTGAGGAATTCTTTCATATTCTTTCTACAATCTCTTCCACATAAGCAATTGATTCATCGATGCAAGCCTGTGGATTTTCATTCAAGTGGAGCAATAATAATTCATTTTTCCACCTGCTTTTTCCTTCTGTACTTTCAATCAGAATCGAGAATTTTCAGCCATTAACGAACTGAAAAAGCATATTTCAAGCAAGAAAATTTCCCCTTTTTAAATTACATGACAGCTTCAAGTGTCATTCAGTGATCGGGTTATAACCATGAACAATTTCGTTGTATTGTCTTATTCTGCAGGTTTGAGCCTTTCATTTAAGCCTGGATTTAAGAAACCAAGTCTGGAAGAATAGCGGTGTGTGCTGCAAATGATATCATTCCAGTTTCAAGATCTTCATCCACAGATGGTATATACCCTTTGTGGCTCCAGGCTCTCTGCCATCTAGGAAACAAATATTTCATGCCACTTTCAATCAAGTTTTGTAATTTAGAATGCATTAATTTTAATGATAAATATGGCAACTATAGGAAGTTGAGGTTACAAACTTACAATATCTTTAAATTTTACTCCAATCTAGACTTCTTTCTTTTTGCTAATATTAATTTTATCATGGATATTATGTCATCAATGTTATGGTTCCTATGTTTGTTTTCTTTTCATCTATTTTTCTTTATGGGATCCTTATTTTTTCATTTATTTGCGCACTCATTCTTCCATTAATTATGAGGAAACTTAGGTTTGGAAGTTTGAGTAAATTGTTCGATCTAGTAACATAAAAAAATTTAGAGTATGTTGATAAGTATATTTTATACTCTTTTCTCAGTCATTAAACTAGAGCAATTATTGTTATTTTGAATGAATTGGGGTTGAATTTTATACATATTTCGTTTGTTAGGTGCAACTAAAGAAAAACAATGAAATTGGACAAAATGAGCGAAAAATTGGGTAAAGTGGGCTTAATCCAAAGTTTGGGGACTAAATCGCAAAGTGCTAATAGTTGATTCAGACTTAATGTTGATGATTGAAGAAGAGGTGGACTGGTGGAGGCAATTAGATGGAATTGGAAGATTGGGAACAAAGAAGATATCAAAAAATGGACTAGGAGGAATGAAGAATGAACTCTAGGGACCAAAGTGCAACAAATAAAAAAATGTATATGGCTCGCGCAAGCCAATGCTCTCGCCCACGCACTAGCCTGGATGTCATTTATCGAGACCAAAAGTGGTCTATGGCGCGCATGGGCAAAAATCTTGGAAAATCGGACAGACTCCTTATTTGATCAAAATTCTCTTCAGAATGCAATTTTATCATCTGTTTAACCATTTTGGGGATGTCTAAAAGGGGGGGGGGGGGGGG